GCTGATAAATGTAAATATTAATCATTGTCTTGAAAACTACTACACTAAATTTCTGTTTCACTTACAGCCCAGAGTGAGGCACTTATACAGAAAAAATTGCACTCTTTTCATTAATTTTGAAGCCATTCTGCAGTGATTAACATGCGAAGTCTGCCAAAGCATTTTCAAGGTTGTTTTTGCACTTTTCTGCAGCTCAGATCAATGGAAAGTGCTGAAGCTCCAAACATACCTAAACATTTTATCATTCTTTAAACCCATAGCAAAAATATTTTTAAAGTATAAGCATATCTTATATAAAGAATAGAAAAATCTATGTGTCTCTTCATTTCAGGGGATGAATTACTATCTCAAGAGCGTTTTAAAAGTGACCAACAAATAGTACCAGGAGTTAGTTTTACAGAGAATATACTGCATGATAAATGAAGGAAGAATGCCAAAATGTTTATTTTATTCTTGTTACTTGAGTGAAGTTTAGGGGATTTTTTTTGAGATATTTTTGAATTTCAGTTTGGTTTTCCTGTATTTTAATCACTAAACTGATTAGTGATATAAAAAATATATTGCATGGTTGAAGAGGATGGGAAAAGAGGAAATGTTTAAACTTACCTTCTCAAAAAGGTTATACTAGTATCCTGCAGTATTGCTCAGTAGTGTTAACAAAAGAAAAATACAAAATGCACCATGAATTACCACTAAAACTCCTTTACTTTCCTTGATTCATTCCTCCCTTTATCTTCTTGACTGTTATGATATCATAATTTCACCAGCAATTCAGGCATAGATCATAGTAAATGGAGTTAGATATATAACAGGAAAGAGAAGGAACAAAAAGGGGGGGAAAAACACCAACCCACAACTGTCAAGCCTTCTTACATTTCATAAAGTATCAAAAACATTATCTATACTTGCATTCACTTTTTCTTTGTCTATGTTTAAATCACTCTTTAAATGCCCCTGCCCCAAAAACCCTCCTAATATTATGAGATATGATCTCAAGAAGTTAAGTTTTAAGGACCTTTTTAACCAATAGCCTGTCTTTCTAATTATAAATTGACTGAATAATCATTGCATTGATTTACAACAGCAAAAGATGGGACAATTCATATTCAATTGTTTAACCGAGCATGTTATGTATGATGTGCAAGAGAGTCACCTTGCTCCTTTACATCAACACCTGGAACAGGTATGGAGGCAGCATGCTTAGACGCTGGCAAGGAGGGAGAATCTTGTCTTATTTTATAAAGCCCCCATCTGTCCATCTTGGAAGCAACAGCACAGAATGTTTGGCATGGACTCCAGTTCAAGGACTGCAACGAGGATGTCCTATGCAGCCAACCAAGAGTGGCTGTTTGTGTACTTTCCCCATGTCTGGCCTGAATACCTAGAAGCCACTTGATTCGTAGCTACTTCTTAAGATGATGCACTTATGGACTAAAGGACAATAATGATGAGATAGGGAGGCAAGGTAAATACCAACCAGAGATATCATGAGCTTTACAGAAATGCACTAGGAGACTAGTGTCATTCTTATGCTTGTTTAATTGTTTTAGAAAATCTTTTTGCCATATATATAAACTAAGTTAATCATGTTTTTAAGGCTTTGCAGATAAAGGTCCGCAGCCCTGAAAAATGCTACAGCTCTGGATGAAGATGCATGGGCACAACTGTGTGAAGTTGTTTTGCATGAGCTCACACGCATAACAGTCAAGCTCCGAGCTGGGGCTACCTGATGTGTAAATGCTGCATATCCCTTCTGCTTACCTCCCTTAGTGCTTTGAACAAATCAGAATGCAAGCATAAGTTTCTTGACTGTTTTAGTTTTATGCTATTGATTTATCCCCATGTACCATGTAAAAACTTCTCTAGATGAAAACTGTCAGCATCAAAAGATTAGAAAGAAGTGCCTCCTCCATGCTACTAATCTCTTTGGAGACAGAAGAGGTTTATATTAATTTCTTGGATTATTTTCATCATCTTTAATATTAAATAAAGGGAAATAGGAAGAGAGGGAGAGAAGAAAGGCAGGTCAGTCATCTGACCACCTCCCAAGTACCCTAGCTTGTAAGGATGTGTCACAGTCTCCAATGGAAAGCCTAGGGATTTTACACCACTGTAGAAGGGAACTGACTTCCTCTACTCATGAAGATAGATTTTTTAATGGCAGCCTTTCTGGGTTCTAAGATCTTCAGCTTCTGTAAAGAAAGGTTTACACCACAAAGGGTAAGGGTGAGGAGGACAGCACTGCATTGTCCACATTTCTGTCAGCTACTGACCTTCACCTTGCACACATCCTCCTGAAGAGGGACGCAACCACAGCGCTGGTTCATTTGCTCTGAGCTTCACTCTGCTCCTTCTCCACCCTACCAGGCTGTTTGGGGTTGCACACTGGAGCCATCTTGAGTGTATTTGCCACCAGCTGCTTCCCACAACCTCATTGCTCCCCTACCCACTTCCAGAGTGTTGCACCACGCTGCAGGAGCCTGCAGTGCCATTTGCCAACACCATCTGCCGGACCTCCTGAGCCAAGATTACCTCCTCCCAAAACCACACCATTTCTATCAGGGTTTCAAAGCCTGCAAACAAGGGGTCACAATCTGAAAAGAAGGGCCCAAAAAATCTGAAGATGCTGTTCTTATTCCCAGCATCTTTTCTTTCTCCTTCCAGCACACAAACATCATCCTTATCTTGCATTAATTGTTCTGGGTGAAAAAGAAAATTCCACTTTTTCTGGAACTTTTGACTGCTGTTTTAATCACATGAGCAGCTGCATCAAAACTGTGAGGAGATAATCCTAATAATGTCTTCTCTACCTCCAGACTGTCCCAGTCTAAAGAACAGAAACTAAAGAGCCAGATGGTGCTCATGCATACTTACCCTTGAACTCTAGTTTCAATCTCCCTCTCAGAAAGTCTTTTAATAATAGAATTCAGAATTGCCATATCTCGTGCTTGTGAGGTACTTACCATACCCCATACATCTTTAACTTCCAGAAATTTCTTGTTTACATATTCTTTCATTTCTAAAGTATCTGAATTGGATTGACCCATGCTAGCAGTACTGAAGAATGTTAGTCTTCCTCTATTGCTGCTCCCTCTGATGAAAAACCTCTGCGTGCAGCCTCAGGCTTCATCACTTCTTTGTTCCTTTGGGCCCCCCCATACACTTGGCAAGGACTATGGTCCTTCTACAGCTGCACTGGGCACAAGGGCAGATTGCTGACTCCATTTATGAGGAGAAATCCTATGAAAACTAGGCTCCACTATGAAAAAAAGTCAGGTTATTACATTGAAACCATGGAGTATTTCTTTCACATTCAGTTCAAACAGAGCTAAATATGCAAAGAGTAATTTTTCCTTTGTAAACTATTTCCAGGGGTTTTGGTCTGCTTCAGGAGAAAAAGGAGAGCAGAATCCCTGAGTTCTACTTCTGCTTTTGACTCTCAGCTAGCTGTATGATTTTCTCAGTTTTCTCAGTCAAGGCATCAAGGCATTCCTCAGTTTACCAATTTGCAAAATGGATACAACAGTGATATATCCACAGGAATTCAGAGAATAAAAGAGCTGTTTGCAAAAGACTTCAACACGTACCAAAAAAAAAAAAAAAAAAAAAAAAAGAAGCAGATAACTTATTCTTTCAAATTAAAAATGGGATAGATTATTCACGTATCTATACATAAACTCAAGCCATGAATCTGCTTGTAAGTGAACCACTCCTACATGAACCCTGCACTCTGTTTATAAGGCACATTGTTTCCTTTATAAAGCCTACAGAAGTCAGACTTTGATTTGAATATAATAAAATTGCAGAAACAGCAGAAGCTGGCCATGTAACTCCTTTTTTAATGAATACCTAAAGTAACAGTCCTCTAAGCCATTGTGTCATCTTTCAACTCCTGTCCCTCCCTCCCCCTTTCTGCACCAAACTCGAGGAAAAGAAAAACTGATTGGCAGGTACTATAGCTGGCGTGAATAACCACGACTATATATCTTGTCAAAAATCAGCATGTACTTTAAAAAAGAAGAAAGTAAAATATGAAGATAAGAGGAATAATCTGAGGCTCTCCCATATTCTCATTCAAATTTTTCTATTTAGATTTCACTATATTTCCTTTTTTAACCTTCTCCTGCAGGTCTTTATATATAGGACAAAAAAAATCCACTTCTGTCATTTAAAGCATGATGAAAGTACCAAAGAAAAATCTATTTTCAGCTGTTTCTCGTTAGAGCACTTTTTTGCCACTGTGATGAAAGTCGATGCAAAGAAAGAAAGACGAGTCACTGATGAAGATGAAGAAGCATTTCTGATCAGCCATCTGTTCAACCAATTAAAACCCTCGCAAATAAAGTTGTGTATTTTTATATAGCTAACCCATAAAGATATACATATCTGTGTGTACACTGGCATGCGAATACATACATATAAATACCATGTAAAGTCTACTTTGCATACACTGAACTCTGCTTACATGCTGAGCATGGCTAATTAAATACACACATAGAGAAACACTGAAAATGCGAAATAGACTTTGGCCCTGCTGCAGAACAAAGCCTTCTCTATTAACATCCCTTTCTCTTAATGGTCCTTATGCAGTAAAAATAAAGTCCAAACACTATAATTTCACTCCCAGAAAAGTTACAAATACTGTAGGTATCTTTAGAAACAGCTGCAAAAGTGGATTCACTTCTGACAAGATTGGTGTTAATTACCAGTAAGGACTTCAGTATAATACTATTTAAATCATTTTAAATTATCCCTCTCAAAAATTAATTTTTCATCAAAGATTACACAAAAAAATCATGATATCATCTCTGCAGCTGCGATTTAGTAATAATTTCATCTATTATTACCAATGTCACTTAGATAAAAGAAAAATGGCATCCTACTGTGCTGATTCCAGCATAGGCCATATATAGAAATTTTTAACTATCACTTATAATCGCCTTGATGAGCTTAAACCTCCTCTCAATTAACACCCTAAATGACACTGAGACATCTTAATGGAGGATGTAAGTAAAGGAAAAAGACTTTAATCAAAGAATAAAAAGAGAAGTGCCAAGCAAAAGGAGGAAGTCTGGTGCACCTCTCAGTGTCCAATCTCACTGGGGTCCTTTATCTTGTCTTGAACTTCTTGTCATCTTTATATTGCAACTGTAACTTCACAGCAGCCCTAAGAAGGAAAAAAAAAAAAGTGAGCATGTTCTTATCTGCAGTTCCCATCCTTGTCTTAGAAAGACAGTAGGGGTTTACACTGATCAGGCAAACACAGATTAAATGAAACTGAAGAGATTGTGAAAAATAAAACAATTTCATCTTACAATGAGGCTTACTCCATTTTGGTTATTACTTCAATAGTGGTTCAGGGCAAATCTTAAAGACTGGAATACAGTCATTCGTACACTATTCAATAAACCTTGAATGAGCATGTTTTCATCCTAGCATCCCAACCTCAATAAAAGTTCTGCTTTCACAGCCAGCAGGTAATTATACTTTTAAAGATCTCATCTGCCAGACAACCACATAAATATTTGCTTAAATGGCACCTACATTCGGTATTATTAAGGGCATTTTTGTCTCTTTAGCATATCTATAAGACTCACAATACAAGCACTTAAATGCATACGCTTACTGGGTGGTTGTGATAGCACTCTTCAAATATCAGGAAGGCTGAGAAATAAGTCTCTATGTAGTGTTTCCCAAACTTGTGAACTCAACTTTCTAGCCTTCAGAGTAACCACATAGACGTAGTAAGCTGATAATCTTCAGCCACTCTCTGCAGACTTCTTGCTATACCCTTGTGCAAAACTGCTGGGGGATGACTACAGCCTGGGAACTGCTCTTTTGGGATGCACATGGCTGAAGGTACAGGCAGAGGGTTGCTTTGCCCTGGTGGATGAATCAGTGACAATCTGGCAGCTCTGACATAGAAAAAGGGCTTTGGGAAGTATGATCACAAATTATCTCTGAGGGACTTTGGGAGGTGCTCTAAGTGCCTGGGAGCCATAAATCTCTGCTGTACCAGCTAATGGGGCCATTAGGTTTGAAAGTATCTAAACAACACATAAAAGTTCATCTATATATATATACACACACACATATATATACACGCATATATATATATATATATATATATATATATATATATATATAGTTCCATTGCCTAATATTTTTTCAGCTAATTCACTCATAATGAGAACCAAATTAATATTTCTGTGTGCATTAATAGTAAAAAAAAAAAAGAAAAATCCAATTAAAATCAGCCTGGTATTTCATTCCTTTCAAGCGTTTTTTGCCCATTACAGCTTCACAAACTGTTTGCTACAAATTACACCAGTTAAGGATTCTGGTTATTTTGATTAAAAAATAATTTGCAAATGGATTTTATTTTTATTTTCATAGGTATTTGTTGAATAGTTCATGCAGCCATTTCAGCTTGTGGGTTGTTTGCTTCAGCTTTTCACTAGTCGCTCCTATTCTCTATGCACATGGTATTTATGACACACAAAGTACTGTTTAAAGAGCCCCTCAGGTAAAGGTAAGAAATATCCCAACCTCTGCTCCATGACAGGCACAGTATCCACTATATTTAGTCACTGCTGTTACAGAGAAATTGATCAAACTCACCTGTGCTGGATGATTTTAGATTCATGAATACTACATAGCAACTAATAATGAGCAATGGACTGTGTATTGTTAGGGAGAAATTTGCTGATGTGCAGTGAATCATGGAATCACAGAATCACAGAACACCCCGAGTTTAAAAATACCCACAGGCATCTTTGATTCCAGCTCCTGGCCCTGCACAGCACCATCCCCAAGAGTGTGCCCAAGAATACTGTCCAAACAATTCTTGAGCTCTGTCAGGCTTGGTGCTGTGACCACTGCCCTGGGGAGCTGTTCCAGTGACCAACCACCCTCTGGGTGAAGAACCTTTCCCTGATATCCAACCTGAACCTCCCCTGACACAGCTTCAGGCCATTCCCATGGCTGCTGTCACAGGGTACCACAGAGATCAGTGCTTGCACCTCATGACAAAGGTGTAGACTGCTGAGGTCTCCCCTCAGTCTCCTTTTTGTCCTTTTTGTCCAGTCTGTCCAGACCAAGTGACCTCAGCCTCTCCTCATACGGCTTTGTATTCATATCTGTGCAACTTTCAGCACTCACAAATATTACCCTGCCATGGGGCATCACTCTGAATATTTCCTACTAAAGACCTTCTTGTGACTCACAAAAGAAACAACCTTCCAGCATTTATTCTCCAAAGTGTTTCTTGTTCAGGTTTTTTTACCCTAATTTGGAATTCTAGCCAAACATACTTTTTTCATAAATTAAAATTTAAGAAGGTTTGATTTTGCATACATAACATACAAGGTAGCAGTGAAGTAATGCATGCAATTAAAAAAAATCCCAAAGTATTCACGGATCTGAAGGTTGACAGTCTATCACTTTACAAAAAAAAAAAAAAAAAAAGAAAGAAAAAGCTAAAAGCTTTTCAAAAAGGAAATAACTTGCATCAGTTTCTGCAAGTAACCAGTCCGCTGCTAAATGCTAAGCACCCCATCTAAAAGACAACTCCTTGTGTGATCATGGAAATGCTTATTTTCTTATCCAGCAGAACTCCAAGTACACTGCTTTTAACTTGGTCTCCATTTCACTGTTTTACTAGTATGATAAGCATTTCTGTTGATTACAAGCCTGAGAAAAAAAAAGCCTTTTCTGATCAAAATGGCTGTGGCAACAAGGAGCCTAAGGCAGACTTGGTAATGCTGATATCAAAAGGAAGGCCTTTTCCTGGAATTGGGTTTGAGCTGCCTCAGCAAGTGACTCTCATAAACTGCATCTCTTCAGAGGAATAGGAGAGTGCCAGTCAAGCCACACTGTGAAATACTTTCAAGTGCAGACAAGCCTTAGAGCTCTGATATTCAGATTCAGCTAAACAAATGCATACTTCAGTGTGGATGGACATTCTCAAACTGGTTAATGATTTTGTTACCTCGCCAGCACTATGAAGTTTGGCAAGACAGTTAAATCAGTCTAATACTAAGGAAAAAAAATTGAATTTTTCCAATAATTTCCTCTGCTCTCAGCTATACACTGCTGCTTCTTGCTCTGCAGAGACACTGAGTGTTCACCTGATCTCTAGGCTAACCAATTTATTTCACTAAACTGGCAGAAAATGCTGCATTGGTATCTGCTGCATTCATTTTCTGTCTGTTTAGTAAGCTGAAGCAGCTTGCTGGGGCATCAAACAAGTTCCAGAGCCAGCGTGAGAAGAAGGGAGGAAGGAAGGTTGTTTCTTTTCTGTATCAGCAGGATTTTAGGATTGTCCTCTGGGGAAATCAAGCCTTTAAACACTGTTATGTCACTGTACTTGGAGCTATCGCTTTGACCATGCCAGAGCTATTGTTCTGACCAAAATACAGGGATCTCTGGTAAGAATAAACAACAAGACTTTCACAAATACAGTAGGGTTTTTTTTTTTTTTTCAGGGTGGAATAAATTACACAGAGACATGCACCAGCCTGGCAGTTGATTAAGATTGTGAAGAAGACAAAGAGCAAGCAAACCACACTTTCCTCTCCTAACCAGCAGTGCCATGGCTGCAACTCCCCTGACGTATATGCCATTTTATCTACAAAAGAGCGTTTCTGCTCTATACTTATCTTGTTCAGAAAGTTGTATCAGTTTATCAGCTTTTCATACCAGTGTAAACTTAGCTTCCAATGGAAGTGTCTGACAGTCCAGCTATATCACAAGCCCTTTCTAGCTAGGATATGGTCATAACAGAAACCTTTTGGCTTTTGATTACAAAGAAAGCCTATATTTCAGTGGATGTCCTGCCATGAAGCTGCACAGCTGCTATTTTTACTTCTTCAGTCACCACCTTTCCAAACAAAAAAGAAATTCTCTGTGTGCTGTGAATAACAATAAAAAAAAATCTATTCAAAATTACTCTGCTGCATTTGTGTCCTTTTATTTCTTTGCCAACAATATGGGAGTTCACTCTAAAATTCCCAACATTCTGCAGTTGCTTGAGAGCCAGTACAGCTCTCAAGCCAGGTCTAAATTATAAAGTGTTGTTGACAAAGCTGCTTCAGTCACAAGGATGAAAAAAATCACACCCTTAATTGATATAGATATGTGAGCAAAACCCTCTGTATACATGGAAGTATCCCCTTGCTGGCATGGCCTATGCCACTCAAAAAGGTAGTTGAAGAAAAAAGGCTCCTTTTGCCAATGTATATTTTTCCTCTGGTACAACTCAGCCAACAAAGCCTCTGTGTCATGGACCAGTGATTCCCAAATTTTCTGTAACAATCCTTGCTTGACAAAATTGGCCATGTGTAACCTGGTTGCTTCCCCCAAACTGAGCTTTAGTTCCACCTTGTGTCCCTCTTCCTATCTCTGAGACAGTTTTTCTCTGTCCCCACTCTTTCCCTCCCACCTCATATGTTCCCTTCTCTTTATGGGACCATTTCTGACTAGAATAACAGACCCTGTCAAAACAAAAAAATGAAAGCAAGTGAAGACTTTCCATTTTACCTTTTAGTTTCATCATTCTCAACACTGAAAGTCACCAAATCTCAGGATAGTTGAGTCTGATAAGGACCTCTGGGGATTAACCAGTCCAACCCCATGGACAAAGCAAAGCCAAGTGGAGCAGGTTGCTTAAGAGTTTGTTCAGTCAGGTTTGGAGTATTTTCAAAGATAGAGACAAAGAGGAAATCCATGCTGGAACCTGCATCATTTAAACTATTCCCCTATGGAAAACATCTCAAGGTCTGCACAGACTCCATCAGTTTTTTCTCATTTAGTTCCAATAACCTGTAACTGGCAGAGAGGCAGTTAAAGACAAGAGCAGACATTTAAAACTCAGGCATCATTTGAGGAGCTAAAGTGGATTAATTTTTTATAGTTTCTCTATCTTTCTATCTGTTTTTGAGAAATTGGAAGCCAGTGTTCTCTGCTTCTTTGCATTGAAGTTGCTACCTCACCCCTAATAATCCTGAATCTACTGATTCTTCAGGGTCCATGAATGTGTTTAGTGGGAAAGGCTGACTCTTGTTTTGCATTTGACATATAGTCATGTATTTCTACAGAACAGACAGAGGTTATTCCTATTTTATATATTAGATTAAAAATATACCTATGACTTAAAAGTACAAGGAA